GTTATGAACTGAGAATTAAAAGCATTGGCATTAAGTTCAACACCTTTACTTCACAGACTTGGAAACTGAAGAGTAAAGTCACATGAGTAGGAATTTAGACAGATTGTTTTATAAGAGACTTTGAGATATGCCAAGAGAAATTATACCTAAGAGATGAAAGTAAAGGAGCTGAATATTAGAAAATTTTAAAATAAAAATACCCATGGCTTTGTATATGGGTTAACATCAAAATATAGAAATTTCCAAAGAAAAGGAGCTTTTACTCTATGTACATCTACACAGTCACATGAGATACAGGTTCGGATTTATAATATACATGTATATAAGATTTACTATTGATTAATTTGTATAATGTTAATATAGAATTTAGAAGAAAGCCATTTTTGAACATCCAATCATAATTTGAGTAAAATTAGATTTTTTCAAATGAGAAATATATAGAAAGAAATATATTTTAAAAAATTGTTTCCACAAACTTGAGAAAAGTAATAGGTGATATAGTTATTTACAAAATATGTTTTGTAGAAAAATGGTCCACAGGTAGCATGTTAAGAATAAAGCAGTAACAAGAGAGGAAATCCAAATTTGGCCAGTTTGTTAACTCTTTTTATTACCTTTAGTGCTCTGCTTCAAATCTAGAGTACCAAAATGAAAAACTTTTATACAAGTGTGTTAGTAACTAAACATCTTGAGCACTGCCCAGTAAGCATAATATGCCACAAAAAATGTTTTATGGATTGAAATAAATCCCCTGTATTACCTACTTATAAATAGTTCCTGATTCTAAAATGGCAATGGCATCAATGAAAGAAAATCCTGTAAAGTCATCAATGAAGGAAAGTTTTTATAGTTTTTATGAAAACAAATAAAGAAAAAAATTCAACTTTACAGAAAATTAGAATACTTATTAACAAAATAAAAGCTGTACAATTATAACAAAAGGGTTAGTTTTGCATTTTATATTGTTTATTTTACATATTTGGCCCTCAGTGTATATTTACCAAGTGATTACATCATTTTGATATTCTTAGTCCAAGACTAAAATACACTAATATTACTTAGATATTCAGTAGTTAGTCCAACTCTTTAAGCTTAAGTTTCCTATAATTATAAAAAGCTGATACCACAGACTTATCTGTATCCTATATTTAATTTTTGGTAATTTAAAAATTCCATAATAACAAAAAATGTACACCAATGAGAAACTAACACTATAAATTAACATCAATGCACAAATGTGGTGATAGGAGAGTGTAGCCTAGCATAAAGAAACAGTGAGTTTAATTATATATTTCAAATGTCAATTATTATTGCCTATTCCACTAAATTTAGACTAAGGGATGACATCAGCAATGTTTTTGGATACCCAGAAAGCTCTAGAAAACTTGGCATTTGTTTGGGAAAGTAGAAGACAAAATTATTTTTGATGCTATGAGCTCTATCACAGTTTTCCTCAGCACATGCCTTTGAAAAACTCCTCCTTTTAGTTAAAGTTCATAATATTAAAACCATTTTTCCATACACCTGAGGTAACTGAATAATATTAATATGTCTATTACTTCTTTTTTTCTTCCTTACCTGCGGGTATTTTTAGAGAGAGTGGCAGATAGAGGAAAAGACAGAGAGAAAGAAGGATGTGAGAGAGACTCATCAATCGGTTGCCTCCTACACCAGCCCTGACCAGGACCCAGGCCAGAGAAGAGCCTGTAACCTAAATACATACCCTTGACCGGAATCAAACCTGGGACATCTTCAGTCAGCAGGACAATGCTTTGTCCACTGAGCCGGCAAGGGTGCATATTACTTCTTGATACATTAACTAAATTTTTATGTATTATATTTTAAATGTACTTTAATTAACCTATCCCATTAGTGTTCTTATTTTGAAAAATAAGGAGCACATTTACTCAGGACTTAATATTTCTGCTTTTATAGCCACTAGTTCTTCCAGCTAATGATGATTCAAATATTCTGTCTAATAGAGTCAATAGCTTTTTAGTATTAAAAAGATTTAAAATGTTTAAGAGTTACTGATGTTTAAGATTTAGGACCATAATGATTCTCAGCATACAAATTAACTTTGGTATCTATTCTAAAATCAATGTTTTCTTAAAAATTATCATCTTTTGAATGATTTAAAGTGGGAGGCAGCATATTATATATAAAAAGTCCAAGCTTAAAATGACACAAATATATAATTAATTTCTCTACAAATATATGTAAATAAAGTTACTTGTGATAAACAAAACAGAAATAGAGGCAAGAATGTGGATCACACTGACAGCAGTCAGAGGGGAGTGGATGGAAGTAGGAGAGAAGGCATTAGTCAAAGAACATATATGTATGACACATAGACACAGACAACAGTGTGGTGATGGCCAGATGGAGGGGAAATGGAGAATAGGGTTATCTGTAATAATATCAACAATAAAAATAAAGCTAATAAAATCATCTGTTTAATACAGATATGTATAGTAAGGTTATAGGGCTAGTAGTATAAGGCACATGATAAATGTAGTCATGAAAGAAAACAATACTTAATTTAGTAGAATCTATCAACCTAGAAAACCTATGAATATTTATTCTTAATTCAGTATAATGAATAATAGATAAGAGTGTGTATAAGAGAAAGAGCAACAGATAACAAAATACTAGTGTAAGAGTATCAATATCTATTATAGTTTCCACAATTACATAACTATATTTGAAATCATAAGATGAATTTAATAGTAATTTTGCATTGCTAAGGGGAATGTTAAAAAATTACTTTTTCTTTATGAAATATACATTAAAATATTGGAAAATGCAGGGACATGGCTAAAGTCTTTATTCTGACAGGGGGAAAAAATAAGTTTGATGGATAAGAAGTACCATTAGTGACATAGAATGATTTTGTATATGTCATGGTTAGAACATTCTAATGTTTCATATAAATGTACATTCTAAAGGCTATGTAATTCCACCTTTTGCCTTCCTAGTAATCCTTAAAGAGTGTATTTTTTAGTTGTTATAACTTTTCATCACTGTCTCTTAGAATCTTCTAGTAATTTAGTTCAGATCTGTATGCACATATAAACAATATAGTATGCTGAAAGCAAATGTAATACATACACAGGTGACTCTAAGGAGTTCATAGTATAGTACTGGAAGCAGACCAATGAAGAAATAACTTCAACAATAAGGCAAATGTTGTAATGAAGTTTTTTCTGTTGGGCACACAGAATAACCAGAAGTGGCATCCCTAGATCAATCTAGTATGGTATTTCAGGAAAGACTCCATGGTGGCAAAGTATAAAAAATAATATATGATAACAAGGTAGATAGATAGATATTGGATACATAAACAGATAAAACTTATTACTCACAAAAAAATAGTTATAAGAATTATAGGTCAACCTAACTTGAAACATCAGGTTGATGGAAGCTCTCCAGTAAAAAGTCCAGTGAGATTTATTTTTTCAGTCATGTCATTGGTCATAACTTTAGTGGTGATCTCCTCAATACCAGCTCTGCCTGGGCTTTTATATTTCTCTCTCAACCCTTCTCCACCAGTGTTCCACAAGAGAATTAAGCCCTAATATCCTAACATACATTGCATATCATAAGTTAACTTCTCTCTAATACATTTCAAATGAAAGTAGTCATATGGCATCCAGGGGAAAATTGAGAAATTTTCAGTGGGGCTTTATTCTTTTGAAGAATTGTAGTGGAGAGTGGCTGCTTAACCCAAACAATGAATTATTATATTTAAATATCATTAATTTTATTAAGTAGTTAATAGAATTAACTATTCTATTATTTATATTTTCTCACTAAGTTGATATTCATATGTCTACAAATAAGGTTTTTTATTAAGTATAAAAGGTATATGTCAAAATATACACAAGGCATAGTGTATATAATAGTTTCATTTATTGTTGAGAAAGAACTTGTGGAAACCTTAGTAATAGACAATTAGAGACCTTATGGCCCACAGATGCATTGCATCTAGTTTGCCTACCTTAGTAATAATACTTGATATCAAATTTCAAAGCAAATCATTAGAAAGTTTCCTTAATGCTGCTGTCTCTCAACTGTGCCTAGATATTGGCATGTTAACACCTGGAAAAATATTATCATTTTCTTGTTGACATTTCATGTTACAGATGGTCAAGTTTTTAGAAATATTGTATTATTTCTCCCTAAAGACTCAGCAAATATGTTTTAATATTGAATGAAAAATATTTTATGTAAACAGTCTTAATTTGTGCATAGTCTTTTTGAAGAGAAAAATTTGCTCCACCTTAAATTAGATTTTCTCCAATCCCTTCTTTCTGATTAATCATTTAAGTGCCCAATTTTATTTATTTTTCTTTTTCATAGCTGATTGTGCTTTTTCTATATTGTATTCCAGACAAGTAATACTTTAGCCCTCATGGCTCAGTTGGTTGGAGCATTGTTCTATACATCAAAAGGTTGCAGGTTCAATTCCTGGACAGGCGCATATAAGAGACAATTTATCAATGTTGCATTTTCTCTCTCTCTCTCTTTCTCTCTTTCTTCCTCCCTCCCTCTGTCTATCTCACTCTCTTCTTCTTTCTCTCTAAACAAATCCTCAGGGAGGATTAAAAATAATTATTTCCATAATTATCATATGTATATTGCTATTGCTCTATCATGCTAAGTAAAATGACAAGTGGCCCTAGGGGCATTGAGAAAGACAAACAAACCGATGGTACTCAGAGATAACTAAACAAATAGTCTCTCTCTCCTTTTTTTTTTTTTTTTTTTTTAATGTACCAGAAAATAAATTAACACCTACCTGTTGGATAAGAGAAAAGTAGCAGGTCTTCATTCATATCCCCTTTTTGTTGAGTACACTTAATATATGCTTAATTCTGTAGGATTTCAAACTGTTTGTATGCCATCTTTTTATGTGATGTAAAAATATAGCTCATTGTGTGATGAAAATCTAGTTCACATGTTGAGCAGAAAAAATAGGGCACATAATCATACGTTACCTTTATCAATATGCATTCTTTTCGACTCATGTCCGATATCATGACCGGCCAAATCTCCCTCTTTGGGCCCAGGGAGGACGTTTGGTGATAAACCCATCAGCATCTGGTTCATGGACAGCCCATTCTGATGGACAGCTGTCAAGCCCAAAACAAAACAAAACACACCATAATATACAATGATTAACTTACAGACACCCCTCCCAAATTTATAATGGTTATATATTGGTTTAACTTTAAGATTATAATCTATCTATAAGAATACTGTAAGAATAGATAACTATGGTAAATCTTGAGAATAAGCAGAAAAATAATAAGAAATAATAAAAAATAAATTTATCTGTAGTGTATCATATGCTCTCTCCAGGATATAAGCTTCCTTTACTCTGCAAGAAACTCAGTCTAAACATTAGAATGCTCTTTAACACTATGAAGTTAAAATATAATTTTTAAAAATGTAGTGGCATCAGAGAGCAAATAGAGTTTTCACTAAGGTAAGGCATTGAAATAACTGCTTATTTATACTCTAGTAAAAAACAACACAAAAACAAAACAAACAAACAAACAAAAAATCCACAAGGTTTGATAGCAAAGTACTTCCTTAAAAAATGGGTTAGAGCTCAAATTCTAAAATAAAGTGCCACTTAATTAATATCTATTAAATGGTTAAATTATTTAAAACAATAATTGCTTTCCTGAAGTATTATACTATCACTATTGAAATAGTAGGGAGATGATAAAACACCCTTATGATTTTCATAATCCAGTCAACAAATTTCTTAATAAATCATCCATGAAAATCTTGATTTTGCCCAAAACTTTAGAAGAAGGAAGAATCATTCCATACAACCTTACTTTCTCTGGAAAAAATGTTTTTAACATATCACAATACTATTTTAGAAACTATCATTTAAAATCACCACAGCAATAATTGTTTCAGGGGAGAATCTTTCATGGGGGATTCTAAAACTAGTAAAGTGAACTTTTTATGAATGGATTAATAATATAATCTTAAGATATGAGGAGTCAAAGCATACTTATTTCCAAAAACTTAAACAAAAGAAACATTACATTAGAGAAATCTGGTGGTCACCATCCTAACCTAGTTATCACAAATATTGGAGAAATACCATATGTCTCCTGAAACAATGCACTAAGGACACACTAGCATGTCTGAATGTCCCCAGCCAAAATTGCATAACTTAAATCATGAGGAAACATCAAAAAAATTCCAAACTGAGAGATATTTTACCAAATAAATGACCTGCATGCTTCAAAAATGTCAAGGTATTGAAAGACAAAAAGAATGGGAAACTACTTCAATTAATGAAACTAAAAGAATGAATATGACAAGTAATTGCAGCATGTAATCCTGGATTGGTTTTGAGACCAGAAAAAAAAATCTTATTAAAAACAGTAAAGGGAAAAAATATTAGCAGTAAAGTTGATAAAATTAGAATAACATTTATAGTTCAGAAAACAATACTATAATAATCTTAATTTCCTGATTTTGAGCATTGTTCTATGATTATGTAAGAGAAATTCCTTGTTTGTAGAAAATAACCAATGAAGTGTTTAAGGTAAAGAAGCTGGTATCTATGATAAGGGCACTAAGATGGTACTATGCCTTTAATCAGGGTCTCCCCTTCAGAGGGATCAACTGATTGGGTAAAGCTGGGTGGTGTGCATGTAAGAATTCTTTGTATTATTTTTAAATTTTTTATGTTAGTCTAAAATAAATTTATAAATGTCAAACTAAACACACACATAAATGTGCATATATGTATATGTATGCATATATATGTCTATATGTGTGCATGCATATATAGTCTGTGCATGTTTCTATATTATTTGAACAATTGTGATAGTCTACACATAAAAAATTATCTTGTTTTCATCAAGAATAAAAAATATAATGATTAATAAAAAAAATGAATGTATAATAAAATTCAAATTTGTCCATATTTCCATTTAAGTATTATGGAAAAACACTATTCTTTTTTTAGGACAATACCTTTCCAATTACAATATTTTATTAAAATTATAAATAAAGCAAAATAATCTTCACTAAATTTTTGGTTTTAGTGTCAGCATAGCATAAAACCAGACAGAATGTATTTTATTTGAAAAATGCTTTCAAGTATGGTGGTTGGGGTTTACCGGCTTGAGGAATAATGGTCTGGGAATGGTTATTAAAAAATAGCTGCAAATTATTTTTACAAAATTAGGGAAATATTTTATAGGCAGGCCAAATCAAGTATTCATATTTAGAACTGTTTTGAGTCATATAATTTTAAAAATAATGTTATTGCATACAAATCAACCTAACATTTAACTTATCCACTTCATTACTATTCACATTGAGGATTTCTGCTGTATGTAAGTATTCCTGTATAACTTAAAATGATACTTTTTTAGGAAATGATTTTTCTATTGTGAAAATGTTCTCAACAACTGTAACTCCAATAAATTTTGTGTGATTAGGTGAAGTTTATAAATTATAACCATAATTTCCGGAAATAATACCTAATTCAAGGAAGGATACAATGAAGACTGATTTATCAACAAAAAAGTAAGTGTTAATATGTGTTTTTGTTTTTTGTTTTTAAATAAAACAATATTTGATTCTTGTATAGGATTATACTAAGCAGTTAACTTAGTGGCATTTTAACTGTACTCTCAATTTTCTTGGCCAATAGGATCAAGATTAAATATCTGAAAATGTAATCATGAAATAAAATATAAGCCTACTTTTAGAATTTAATAGTAAGAATACATGACTATAATGTGCATTATTGATTGTTACTAATTCAAATTCTATAATTCACCAATTTCAAGCCTTTTAATTTATTCACTATTTGAATGACTAATAAATATTTTAATTCCATTACTTTGAAATCTAGTTTTTGTTCCTTTGTGGCTATCTTTGTCTTTTAAAGAACTAATCTTAAAAATTAGTGAATTTCAAAAATGTCACGGGTAGGATTGAAAGAAAAGAGAAGAAAGAAGATGAATAGTCCATAAGCAGCATACTTAGACACTAGATATTTGAAGTTGGAGGTGTTTACTTCAGAAACTAATCTAGAAGGTTACTTACTTTCTCTAAGTGTTTCATAGCTCAAATCTTTATGTGTGGCATCAAGGAGAGGGAGTTTATATCAGAGCCTGTTAATGTGGTACCATACCTCATGGTATTGCAAACTGGGAAACATAATTTTGAGAGATGGCTATTGCTACAGAGCTTCAGAACATGATACATCTGAGATCTATTTGGAATGAGGGCATTTTGATTAGAAAAGCCAGCTGCACCTAATAAAGTTGAAAACGGTGACAAGTAAAAGTATGAGACCTACGGATTCTGTCGGAAGAGCTCTCAGTCCTTGCAGGAGAGCTGGACACACTGCTGCTGCGATGTGATGATGGGTGACTGCCAGGCCTTCGGCCCTCCTCCAGCGAGGGGGCAGGGGATGGGCTGTCTGGAACACGCTCCTACACCACCATGGGAAGGGAGGGGGAGGAAACAGGTAAATACATTGACCTTTACTTAAGGAATGTTGATTTTTCTCAGTAATATAGAAGCATGAAGGCAATAAACACATCTTTTCATCCACATTTAGCTGTATTAAAAGACACCTTTTATCCTGAGCAAAGTCAAAGCAGGGAAACTCTAGAAAGAAAATTGTTTCTATAGGCAAATAATGTTAGTCCCCCCTTTGGATTAAAAGGGAGACCAAAAAGAACCAGTTTAGAACCTATTAGATATCAAAGAATTAATAGAATAAAGCAGGTTTCAATTCTAGAGAATTACCAACTTAAAGAAATATTTAAATGTGTTCTATTGCTTCAGCAAATGTCTAAGGATCATTTAGCACACAAATTATCAACATTACAGAGAGACCATGATAATAAGACCAGAGGTGTTGTTAATAGCTATTCCATCACAGCCCTGCTCTGAACACACCTGGATAGTCACAGTTAAAGGCATCATAGAAATCAGTTTTTTAGTATTGGAATAATTTTATTTGATTCTAACAAATCTGAGACTACCTGCTACTCCTAGCAATTCAAACATATTTTAATATGGTAATGGAAATTTCATGGAATATATATTAGTTGTGTCTCGGGGTAACTTGATACCACGTTTTTTGATATTGTTCTACAGGTTCCTCTCCATATCTCCCCCTCTGAGCCAGACTAATATGTAAATACACTGCAGAACTCTCGCCAATAAGCTATTATACATGGAGTTACAGATTAAGAAATAAGGCATTTGTTGAAATTTCCTTTTTTGAACAAGATATTTATACCATTATATATCAACACACATAGGCCTTGAAGAACTGTCTTTCAATAAGAAATACAAATTTGAAATGGTACAAGTAAACTTCTACAAGATATGTAATAAATAATAAATAATTCTTAATTGGGGTGTAATGAAGTAGATATTTAAAAAAGAATTTTAAATACTTAAAAGAAAAGTTCTAAAATGTATTCGTTCTATTGGAGGCCATTGTGAAGCTATAAATGGCTAATGTTTTATGAAAAACAAAAACTAAATTCAAGGCTATGAACTACCAGTGAGAAAGAGGGTAATTCATGTTCTTGGTCTCAGAGGTTCCATTAGCCCAGGGTATTCTGCAATCCTCCTTTACATTAAATCACCTGGGAAGTTCTTAAACATGACTATGCCTGGGCTTTACACACAGAAATTCTGGCTTAGTGAGTGTTACTATTGAACTGTGTCCCCAGAAAAGATTGAATGTGGCTTCATTTAGAAATAGGGTCATTGCAGATGTAATTGGTTAAAATGATGTCACAGTAGAGTGGACTTATTTCAACATGACTGTGGTCCTTACAAGAAGACATTGTTAAGATATGAGGGGAAAATGTCATGATGATGGAGGTTAAGACTGAAGTTATGCAGCTACAAGCCAAGGAATGATCAAGATTGCATCCACCGCTGGAAGATATTGGAGAGTCAAGGAAGGATACTACCTAGAACCACAGAAGCAGCATGCTGCTGCTGACATCTTGATTTCAGATTCTGGACACTAGAAATGTGAGAGTATGTAGTTATGCTGGTTTAAACCACTCACTTTGTGGTACTTCGTTATAGCAACAGTATTACACTGAGTCTGAAGTGGAATTCAGACATCAGTATTTTTTAAGTCTCTTCAGGTGATTTTAATGGTCATCCAAGATTGAGTACCACTTACTTCATAACCTTTTTTTTTTTTTTTCAGTTCTGGGAACATTGTTAATAAATAGATATGCTGAGGCTTAACTTTTGAGGAGCATGACAAACAAATGAAAATAAGAAGAAAAAAATGGTCAAACTCTTATCCAAAATTTATGCACAAAATGACCTCCCATTAGATATTTTTATGGAATAAACAATAACCCATGAAGTAAGAAACTTCATGAAAAAAAGCTTTGCAAGACCAAACAATAGTATAACCAAAAAAGGAAACAACTATATTCTACTCTAAAAAGTTGCAATGTATATTAGAATCTGTTTTAAAGATAACTTCTTGAAATTTAGACACTTTTAGACAGGTCAAAATGTGTGGATTTGTTTCTGTAATGGATAATTAATTAAAATCTCCCAAAGAACAGATGTTATGAATATTATGCTATAATACTAGTGCTTTCCCTTAATTTATCAGAGGTTAAGAATTAAATGCTATATTTCTTTTGAATTTGGCTGTTATGTAGGTAAATGTGAACATCATACAATGCATTTTTCTACCCACATAATATAGCATTACATTTGAAAGACTGAAAATGAGTAAGAGACAGAGGTGGAACAGGAAATATGGAAAGAGGAAGACACATACATACCCCCCAAATGTTAAAAATTTTAAATTAACTTGTTCAAAATGATTTATGGATTTATAAAAACTATAGTGGGACTCTTATAGTCTGTATTAAGATATTAAAAATATATCATATCCTCTATAATAAAAGCCTAATATGCAAATAGACCAAACAGTGGAACAATTCGGTGGAATGACCTGTCTCACCTGTGGGCTAGGGGCAGCTCCTGCATTGAGCATCTGCTCACTGTGGTCAGAGTGCATCATAGAGACCAGTCATGAGATAGGTCTGTGATGCTCAATGCAGGAGCTTCCCCTAGCCCACAGGCCCCAGGCTAGCCAAGGTGGGTGCCAGTGGGTGCTCCGATCGCCCTGCTGGTTGCCCTACAGATTGGCTCTAATCGCTAGGCAGGCCCACAGATCCTACTCATGCATGAATTTTGTGCACCGGGACTCTAGTATATAGATAACTGTTTAGATGATTAGAGATATTCTATAAGTAATATAACCTTGATATCTATAAATTCTAATAAAAAGAACAAGTAAAACTAATACAAAATAACATTAAATATAAACTGTAATTGAAAAAAAACTAAAAAAAATATATAAAAAACAAAACTAGAAGATGTAAGTTTGTCTACTCTTTAAAACTAATTTCTAATACATCTAACTCAACACTTGCATTGTATAGAAACACCTGGCATGTATTCAAGAAAGAACATTGCTGTACTTTTATATAAACACAATTTTCTAATACTGGCTGGGTGGCACAGTTGGTCGGAGTGTTGTCTCATACACCAAAAGGCTGTACGTTTGATTCCCAGTCAGGGCACATAGCTAGGTAGTGGGTTTGATCCTCAGTTGGGAATATATTGGAGGCAACCAATCAAAGTGTCTCACATAAATGTTTCTCTCTAAACAAATCTTCAGGTGAGGATAAAAAAATAAATGAAATAAATTTTAAAAAGTAAAAATAAATTAAATTAAATTTCTAAATTAACTTTTCCATTTTATTCAATAGGTCACCCACAGATAAGTTTATTCAAAAGTCCACTTTAATATTTATCTTAATGATTATGTAAGTGATCATAATTTCAGTGTCTCAGGTTTGGCTGAATAGACATAAAGTGCAATCTGAAAATAAATCTATCCTTCTAAAATCATTTTGCAAGTCTGAGTTTCCTGTCATAATAGATTTCATAGAAGTCCTAATGGAAAAATGAGAAACTGATTTTTTCCTGAGTATTTAACTCATAAAATACTTAAATATTTAATGCATAACACTCTAGAAACAATGTATACACCATTAAAACAAATTATATTTTTATTTTCCCCACATAAGTATAAAAGTATTTAATAGTCAATATATTTCATTGTCAAAGTTTACTCTAATAGTTCTTTTCATTTATGCATTATTCACTCTCACATTTACACAGACAAAATACTCTAAAGATAACAATAATTAAAAAAATAAACTAGATTAAAATGTTAATGTAAAATATGCTGTAAAGGCATAATTTTAGGCTTAGGGAATATGTAAAATTATAATATTTAATTTAGCTTTAGCTTATTTTTCCTTTATATTTTTTGTCTATGAACAAAGGATACAAAGAGAATACTTAATACTTTTGTTGCAAGAACATATTTAATTCATGCAAATTTTTATTATGTAAAAGCTTAAGTATTCAATTGAAACTTTCTATAAATTGAGATACAACATATTCAGTCATTTCACTTAATGTATAATTTCAATCTTTAGAACATGATGTATGTTCTTTGAAGAATTTCATTAAAGGAAAATCCATTGAGTAAGTATAATTTTAATACATTGTTGTACAATAAATTAATTTATTTCAACAGCTTAATTCTTTTATCATGTTTATATGCTTTCCTTTCCTGAGTTTGCTGTGAGATGGAGAATAAGGGAGACATTAAAGGATTGCTTAGGAGAGAATCTTAAAATGATTACTAAAACAAAACAGATAATGAGTTTTATTCAGACAGAAGAAAGAAGCAGTTCCATGTCTGTAGGGAAACTATGTAAACTGGTAATGTCATTTCATTTGTGTAATAACCTTTAACCTCCAAGATGGGACTGAAGTAGGACAAAGAGGAAGAATATTTAATTTAATACTTCAACACACTGTTTTATAGTCTTGCATCACAAATCCACCAATCAATAAAGCACAATCTTTTGCAATCTTCCATCTTTATAAAACAAGCCACAATAATAAATGAAAATTTAAGAGGAATACTCTCTCATGGTAAGAAAAAAAAGAGGTCATACTAATAAACTAATGCTAACAGAATAACAATAAAGGGAAAGCTGCATTTATTGCCTCTGGGTAGAATAAGAAGTATTGGTCTCTAGGATAATTCAGAATCAAAGGTTGAATTCAAAAAGATGTATTATAAAATAAAAAAGTATATAATGTTCAGTATTATATTCATATGATTAACTAAATATTTAAAAAATTACATTGTCTAAATGCCTCCTATTCACCACAAACTGCATTATATTTTATCAGCTTAAAATATTTTTTTAGAGTAAGTCTAAACACAGCTCATTTCCCTAAAGAATTATTTTCATTTAGCTTTACTTTATGTCTCACTCTTTTTAATTATTTTCATTTTCATCTATCAGTTAAATATTCTGACACTAAATATGCTATAGATGTGGGGAGAAGATATTTCTATCCTTAAATGTTCTCTTGATATAACTTTTAACTTACAAAACTGAAGTTGGCCAGCACTTTGCATAACCTAAACACTTGAACTTTAACACAACTCAGACTTGGGTAAAAAAAAATATAGACTGGACACATAATATGCACCAGTGTCCTAGGTTCTGCCTATGTATAAATAAACAAAACGAAGGAAAGTCCTGTCCCCCATGCAGCATGTATCATAAACTAGTATATGTTGTTAATGAAGTCCAAAATCATACACACTGCTTAAGTGTGGCATCCAAATTCCTTGTTCTGGGAACATAAACAGAGAAGGTAAATGGTAGAATTGGGATTCTGGATTTAGGAAAATGTTAAAAAGGACTTCTCAAAGACATAGTAAATGGTGTTAATAAATTTGCATCTGATACAGGCTAAGGCAACCACCATGGAAACTCCATGACTCAAAACTCTAAACTGCTGACTCAAGAGATTTTTGCATAGTTCTTTGTATTTGTTTTGATGATGACACTCAAGAAATACTCAGTTTTGCTCAATATAAAAGTGGTGGGACCCATAAGTATAATCATAACCAACTTAATTTTATTCTCCTGTTATCTCTTCAAACTTATTCAGTGGTGGAAGACTCAATATTTTCCACAGGCCACTTCAAAATTTCCCAGGTTACTATTTGGCAATTCAATGAGTACAGTTACTTTACTCACACACAGTTTTGACTCAAATTATAATTCACCTCTATGTAATAATAAACATGAAAATCTTGATTAAAAGAAGACACTTGCCGAAACCAGGTTGGCTCAGTGGATAGAGCATCGGTGTGGACTGAAAGGTCCCAGGTTCGATTCCGGCCAAGGGCATGTATATTGGTTGCAGGCACATCTCCGGTAGGGGGTGTGCAGAGGCAGCTGGTAGATGTTTCTCTCTCATGGACATTTCTAGCTCTCTATCCCTCTCTTTTCCTCTCTGTGGAAAGTCAATAATATATATATATATATATATATATATATATATATATATATATATATATATTTTTTTTTTTTTTTTTAAGACATTTTCCTTTACAACACTGAAGGAAGGGAGCATACAGGGCGGGAAGCAAGGAGGGCAAGTTAAATTCTGACTTGGCCAATGCTGCCATTATTTAGCATTACTCTCTCTGGGCACAGCTCATGTTTGAAGCCAACTTTTTATCTATTGAAGGCACTGTGCTTGTTCTTAGAGGCCACTGCCAATAAATCAAATTGAGTTTAAGTTCTTCTGCCCCTGAATTTTCTACATAGTTATAACCGGATGCTTAATTCAAGTGGGCATGGGGGCAAGACTATTTAAAGATGGCATTTCCACCAGAAGCACATCATGTCTGCTTAATTTCATTTTATGATGCCAGCCATCCCTGATGACCATGGGCTAGACTCACCACTTCATTAGGACTTGCAATTTGGTTATACTCTTAATATATCATTTCTTACTCATTTAATTGTTAGAAGACATACACAAACATAAATTTCCTTATAAAATTATTTAGTTATCCTTAGGTACAGTTTATATGGGAAACGCTTAACTCCACCACCCTCTATGTAAACCTTTATCTGTCCTTTAAAAGAATCAATTCCCTACAATTATCTAAAGGTGAACAATGAGTTTATATTTTAGTATTGTTACAAGCTCGTGGATTTAAATGTATGAGATCTGTTTGAATACAGAGATGTACAGTATCCTTAGTGGTGGTTGTGTTTCAATATTTTCTTTTCCTTGTTATTATCCTTTTTCCATATTTAATATCAATACTCAAACATTAAAATAAAACACATTAACTACTTTTCTAAATCCAGGTATAAATGATATGAAATCTATTTTCATGAGAGAAACATTTATGTCTAAAAGTAATGCACATATCTAGAGTTATTTATGGTTTCCTCCAAATAAACTCTTCTGTATCTAAGAAAAACATGAAATATGTGACATTGTTCTAATATTTGAATCTAATTGGGAAATCAGGTCACTCTGGTTCTAGCTTTTATAATCATTAAACATTTTAAACTTCATGCATATAAAGCCCTATTTATTAAAGTAGTATCTTAAGGTACTTCTTTGAAGGAAAGTATTAGAGAATGAAAAAATTATTATTTGTATTGTTTACTAGTTTTCCCCCCAAGATTTAATTCTTTAAATGAGAATGGCATAAAGTTTTATGTTTCTCTTACACACAATACTAGCTAGCATGCGCTCGCACAAACACACGTCACCAAAAAAAAAAATTAACAAATTTAAATCACATTTCCTAGTCTTAGAAAAACTTATAATGCAGTGTAAATATATGTTTATTCAATATTGTAGAATAAGAAATCTTCCTCCAACCCATGTTTTAAATCCCTAAAATTTACTGCCTTTCTTTTTTCCAATTTTCAATTATTTCCCCACAAGAACCTTTTTTTTTCGAAGTCCTTTTGATATCATTGTGAATTTATTAAATAAAAAGTGAAAAAAATATTGATTGATTCTGGGGGATTTGCGGTTACTTGATGAATTATACCCAAAGAGAATCAATTAGTAGAACATTTCATCCTATTAGGAATTCTCTAATGACAAGAAGAATTGATTTCTTGATTTATACTGTTTATTTTCCTCAGTGATTTAAGTCAATACAAATAATACATCCTTTTATAATGTGGAGATAATACAAAGATCATATAAATAGATATGATAATTTAGAGTTTTAATATTTAAAAGTATCTAAAAATTCTAAATCAATGGACTGGAAAAGAAACAATATGAATAAATGCAAATTCTTAATACAAGTAAAAGATGTAGAATTGGCCTAGAATTTCATGTCAGAAAGGCATGACATTTACTGAGTCACAAATTCAACTAGCAAAATAGTTCTATGAATTATGATTACATTTATATGCTCTTACTTAAATTGAGGTTTATGCCAGTACTGTATCTCTCTACTGTCCAGTACAATTTTAGAATTTCAACAATGTTATATGGGAAGGGTTGGGGAGGAGGTGGGTAATATTTTAATGGTCAACCAAAAAGCTTGATGAGAAATGATCAGGAAAAAAAAAAACTAGACTATTTGCTCTAGAGGAAAGTAACACTACAGATGACCTAGACAGTAAGATGTTTAGAACACAGGAGAATTCATAGATATCTTCCTTCCAAAAAAATAACAACATTATATATATATATATATATATATATATATATATATATATATATATATATATATATATGGCAAAGTTAAGGTGGCAACTATGGAAATAAAAATTTTAATTTGGCCGGCACCGGTTTGGCTCAATGGATAGAGCGTCGGCTTGGGGACTGAAGGGACCCGGGTTCGATTCCGGTCAAGGGAATGTACCTTGGTTGCGGGCATATCCCCAGTAGGGGGTGTGCAAGAGGCAGCTGATCGATGACTCTCTCTCATCGATGTTTCTAACTCTCTCTCTCTCTCTCCCTTCCTCTCTGTACAAAATCAATAAAATATATTTAAAAAAAAAAAAAATTTTAATTTGATTCAGGAATACCTCCCTCATTCTTATATTTGCTATAGATATCAGAGGTCTTCTACAAAGGCTCAGTTACATAAAAATGGTTAAGGAGAATACAGGAGTTATTTATCCACCATGGGGGAAGCTCAATTATATAACAGCTAATATTCCAAGCTTATGTCTTCATGTTCCATGAATGTTAAGTAATAAAGATATATAGGTATCACAAATACATAGACTACTACAGAGATTATAATAATTTAATATATTCTTATAGATAATGACCACTAGTTGTTTAAATTAGAATTAATATTTTCTAAACAGTATATGTTCATATCCTCCATAGAATCATTTCACAAAAATATTTCTTGTAGTACAAAAAAATCAGCTGGATAAAGTTTAAATTTAATACTTGGTAAACTTCATGATGAAAGTTTACTTTGAAAGCAAATAACAATGTTATAAAAGCACTGTGTTCATTTATTTTCTTTTGTTCAGCACTTTCAATTTTTTCCCCCCATTGCCAAATCCTATGGCTGGATAGTGTTTGAGAGGTGAGTTTAAGCTACCACAACCTAAGACTCAGAAGGGTTTGAGTTCACCAGAGCTCTAATGCAAGAATCACAGCTAGTAAGTGGCAGAGCCATAATTTAATATTCTGGTCTTCTGAAAACAAATCACTATTTTCCACATATTAAGATTCATAACACCACAAACACACACCTGCATGGATGCATGCATGCACACACACAACCGGACATATAAGCACACACAAAATTTAAACATATCATTTAATGCCCTATGTTTCTCCTTTAATATATATGGTAGACAACTTGAAATTAGTCTAGCCTGCCTAAATCTTTTACCGCTGGTTCTAATTACTACAAGTTATTTTTTTTTCATACTCTATTCACTATCATTTAACTTTCTGAAGTTAGAATCACTTGTGGAATAGAAAAACAGATTAAGAGACAGTGGCTGAAGATGATGTTTGGTGTCAGCCCAAACAATCCTGGGAGAAACAATTACCTTAATAACAGATGTCTCCACTCTGGACGGGGGGCTCTGAACTTGCGCTGCCGCCGCCATGTTTGCAATGGTGCTGAGATGGTTCATCTGGCTCATTGCCATGGTGACAGATGCTGGAGGTAGGCTGACAGGAATTAGAGGGTGGGGCATCATCATAAAAGGAAGTTCCAGTCCTATAAAAAAAATACACATATATCATCATTGCTCTGGCCAAATAAAACTATGAAACATGGCATGTACCATTTATTAAAATGGTTAAAAACATACATCGTTGAAGATTGAACCATTCAATAATGTCCTAATAATGACAGTCAAACGAGAAATATCGGTCCTCTTTGTATGTAAAAAAAACCCACTTGTCACTCAGGGAAATTAGGCTTACAGCTAACTAGTTTGCTGTCATGTTTTATCACATCACCACTCTTCATCTGTGCAGTACAAATGGCCACTTCTTTGCCAAATTATTCTTCTGACCAGCCTAATTCTTGCTTAAAATACTAGGGCTTCCTTTAACTGATTACAGTTAGTTTTCTAATGTAGTATGTTTCTATTATGTCCTATATATTTTATTTTCTTTGCAACTACCATTTTTAGTGCTAAAAATGCCATCATACCAGTTGGCAGAAGGTGGCCTTGTTGAAGTTGGTGGAGAGGATGGCCAACCGGAAAGCCATGCGTCCTTGGCATGCAGGGGTGGGTGACAGAAGCCTGAGATCCCAGGCGTGGGGAAGAGAACAGTGTTTCCTTACCCAGAGAACCATCATTTCTGCTCGTGGGGAATGAACATATTATACATTCTTTGGATACAATATTATTCCAAATCTTCTAATGACTCACTTGAAATGAAGTCTTAAAAAGAATATTCCATTTTGGAGATTGGTTAAATTATTTCTTAGGAAATAAGCTAATTACCCCTGCACCCTGTTTTCTTCCTGTTTTTCTAGTTCTTAGATAATTTCTCAATTAAAAAAAAAATTCTACAGCAGTTAGGTTATTTGCAGAGAATAATCCTGTTCAATTAACCATCTTAATATAAAATGAGCTCTATTGTATGCCTAAAGAATTTGTTACTTCCTTGAAATGAAGCACACTGATAGTTATAGAATGCAAAGGTATCCTTGTAAACAATATCCTAGTTTCCATACAGAGTTAAAGTTCCACACTTAATTCCAACGCAAATGCTAAACATGGAACCATTAAATGCCCACCCTGTTAGACATAGTGGAGAGAACTCAAAAGATTGTTTTACTAAAGAAAATAATGTCAAAGTAATAAATTAAATATATGTGAATTAACAGACACATCATTTGTTTTCAACTTCAGAGAAATAAAAGTTTATTACTGTGTTAATATCAGTGCCAAAGTCAAAACACTACAGTCAAGGGCTCGCATTTCAGTAGTAGTGGCCACATCATTTAAATTTTGATGTCACCAAATTAAATTATCTTAACACTAATTTATTGTTTAACTGAGTCTGTCGAATATATGAACTACCAAATTAAAAATGTTTTGTAATATCCCTGTCAGCTTATGAGATTTCCTTTCTTAAAAAAAAGATACCATATTTTTATGTAATATGCTTAGAAACTGCAAAGTTGGTACAGCTCCAATTGAAATGCTTTAGCTCTATTAAAAGCTTCATTGTAAAATCTCTACGACACAGTTTTTAATGAAGAATACTTAGTTACTGCCATGATTTTTTTCCATTTACTTCATGAAGACAGTTAAGATTCAATATAAATTCAAACTCATTAGCTCAATACTGTCTGGATCTTAGAGTAAATTGTTCAGAAGTGGGTAATGAAAACTCAATTCAAGTTCTTCAGCAATCAAACAAAGCAATTTTATTAAACAATGAAAAGAATCAATTAAATGTATTTCGTTATTATCTCTATTATTTTATAAGAAACCATGGCAGCTTTTGGCATAAAAATAAGTTTAAAGCTTCTTATGAGCAAAAGCTGGTTTGGCTCAGAGGTAGAGCATTGGTCTGCGGACTGAAGGGTCCCAGGTTCGATTCCAGTCAAGGGCATGTACATTGGTTGCAGGCACATCCCCGGTGGAGGGTGTGCAAGAGGCAGCTGGTTGATGTTTCTCTCTCATCGATGTTTCAAGCTCTCTATCCCTCTTTCCTCCTCTCTGTAAAAAATCAATAAAATATATTTTTAAAATAAATAAATAAAGCTTCTTATGAAAATGACTCATAAATTTTTTTTCCAGTTTACTCTTAGTCTGTGATGTAAATATTTACTTTTATGTTCACAAATTTATGAACCTTATTTCTCTACTCATGACTTATTTGATAATTATATTAAGGTCCTAGTCAAAGTGCAAAAACTATAAATATGTGAATTTTTCAAATATATGATGGCAGGAGAATATTCAGTGACAAAACAGTTTAAACATTTCCACATTATATTGCCATTATGAAAGCATATGCAAATTTTTTTCATTGCATGAAGAAATGATGTTTACTTTTTATGTTATCAATTAATACAAGAAATGGGACATACTCACTATTTGGATATAGAAACAATACTGCAATAGGTGATATTTTAAAATGAGAACTGCATTGAAAATATATGATTAATACAATAGTTAATCTTCTCTAATGTTATATTTCATTAAAATATCCAACAATGCAAGGATTATATTTTATAATAGATTGCTTATTTGAGGATAATTAATATATGGAGTAGAGAATGATATTCATATCTATTATTTTAGATTCAGTTTAAGTACTGTTTAAAACTATTATCTACTGTTTTTCTGTTTACTTGAACTAATTTCTTTTTTTATTTGAATTCTGATTGCCAGTTGATAAGTGGGAAAAGTCATTTTTTCAAATATATTTTAATTTCACTCATATATCAATAGAAAAGCAATGTAAATCTACTTATTAACATTATCAAGGTGTAAAACATCAAGCTAAAATTCTGATTAAATCATCTGGAAAACAGGGTTTAGGCAAAATACTATCTGTTGTCACATCTATTTTGCATTGTAGGACATCAGGCCCTTGTGTAAGGATACATATTAATCATCTATATATAAATTTTCCATAGCAAGTTCATAATACTAGATGGAATTTTCCCACTACATAAAATGCTGCTAGACATCTATACCAATCATCATTTGTTAAATACACATGATGTTAGCTCATTTAGGTAATAAATAGAGCAAACAATTAAGAAACTAAGTCTGATGAAAAATATGCAATATGTAACTAAGTCAGCTGTAAGTGATTTCTGCATTATTTATAACACCCATCTCCTCTATTAGCATGAATAAATAAGAATTAAAAGTAGGCCACTTCAGAACAAGACATGCCCACAGTTATTAAATGTATAACTTCAACTGCTTCGGTTTAAGGCAATATATTTAGTGACATAAGCTATTATGCCTACATACAAAGATATAGGATATATATATATATACCTTTAAGATTAAGGTTTACTATTATGATCACATGAAAACTTGCAAGAGATAGAAGATTCAATATACAAGAAACATTTCAGAAACAGAAAGTAACTAATTTCTTATCTTTGATTCTTAGAAAATCATGCTGGTTTTTTTACTTCATAGTGGAATAAAAAGACAAAGTTGAGATAGCCTTAGTATGTACTATAACAGGGTATTGGAGCATGTAATAATAATTTTAAAAACTCATAAAATATAATAAAAGTATATAATGGTTTGAGCCCAAGAAAATGGTTATCAGCTCATGAAAAGATTCAGAGACTGCATCCCCTTCTCTGATTTTTTAAATCTATAATCAGCTTTTAATGTTGAGGGGAGGGCACTAACAGATATCCTATATTTGGTTCTACAAACAAATGTGGAGGAGCACTGGAACGGTCTTAGCTGGGCACCTGCTTAAACAGATGTAGGCAGATGCACACTGCTGATAGCAGAACATGACAGCCAGCTTCTATATGATGAAATTAATGATTCTAAGCAGCAGCACCATGAGGGCAGCTACTAATGCTGTAGCATGATTTTTGGTGGGATGATATTAACACATGTAGTATCTTGCAGCAACCAGATGTAAGTAGGTATATGAATGTAAGAGAGAAAATTGTAATTAGACCCACTACCAATTTGATCTCTAGCTAAAAAGTCCCAATTGTGCATTTACATTATCTGAAAAAAATTCATTACCCTGCCTAATTACACTGACATCATAGCAGCACAATTCATAATAGCTAAGATTTGGAAACAGCCTAAGTGCCCATCAGCAGATGAGTGGATTAGAAAACTGTGGTACGTCTACACAATGGAATATTAGGCTGCTGTAAAAATGAAGGAACTCTTACCATCCCTAACAGCATGGATGGACCTGGAGAGCATTATGCTAAGTGAAATAAGCCAGTTGGAGAAATATAAATATCACATGATCTCAATCATTTGTGGTATATAATAAACAACATAAACTGATGAACAAAAATGACAGAGACAGAGAATCATTAAACAGACCATCAAACCTAAGAGGGAAGTCAGGGGAGGGAGAAAGAGGGTTAGAAATTAACCAAAAAAGGCTTGTAAGCATAAGCAATGGTCACAGACAAAGGGGGATTAGGGCATGTGCTGGGAGGGGAGGGGGCAATAAGGAGAAAAAGAGCTATAGGTAATACCTTAATAAAGAAAAATAAAAAGAACTATCAATAAGCACATGTTCAAATATATGGGACTTATTTCCAAAAGTGATTTCATGGGCTTAGTTTTCATTTCATGTAAACAGATGTGTGTTCCTCAATGATTAACAAGGTGATCTTAAATTTTGTTTAACTAAATTCAAGCTATAAGAACAATGTATGGGAGAGAATTCTCTCTCCCTTAAACCCACAGAACTCCAACATTAAAACATGGTTAAAGGTTCTGAGAAAACAAAAAACCTAACATACTATTTCTGTGTTTTTTTTTTAATTATTATTATCTCAGAGCATTTTCCTTGGCTTACCTCCAAGTCATGTCTTTTGGTGTATTTTATGATGCTTATTTTATGGTGGGACAGGATGTAAAGACAGTATTGCTTTCGCTGCTCTAAGGGTAACCAGATACTGAACAGTCAGAACTGATGAGTTACAAATATAAATTTGTATTAATTTCCCTCCAATTATCACCTTTAAACTTGCTCTGTCACGTTCCCTTTTCTGCCTCTTAATAACCTTGA